CATTAAGAAAAAAAAAACTAATTTTAATTTTTAAAAATTATTTTCACTATACTAGAAACTTAAAATCATCTTTTATTGTTCTTGGTGCCTCTAGTGATGTAACCAAGAAAAATTTTCAGATCTTTTCAATTTTTACAAATATAAAGAGTATACGAACTCGTTTATAATTTGTACTTTTTATTATGTTTTTACTGATTTGCATGTTAATGTGTTTTATGGTTATACTTTCTATTTGATATTAAAATATTTTTATGTTATCTTATATATTTAATAATGTTAAAAATCAATCAATTTGACTGAACCACATTGATCCGATTTAAGTTAGATTGATTTGATTATCATATAATAATGGATTTGATTGATTTAAAAATTTTATTAACCGATTAAATTAGATTAATTTAAAAAATATTAAAATGTGAATCAAATTTAAAAAATATTAAAATGCGAATCAAACCACACTGTGAACACTCTTACTTCTCTAATCACCATGAACAGAAATGGAAAAATGTATACTTGAACGTCCTCACTGCTTCTTCTTCATCGTTTATTTATTTGGCTGCTCTTCATCTTTCGTTTAACCTCTTTATCCAACTCTTCTAAGCCTCCCACTATTTCTACTTCCTGTAATATTTTTTAAACCATAAAATTAATGAAATTAAACTTAATTGATCGAATTCAATCGTATCATCTTTTTTTTTCCCTCTAACTTCGATTAACTTTGAAAATTCGAGTGTCGAAAATTAGGAAGAGAAGCTTGCCTGAGGTCCCAAGAATAGCCCCATACGGCACTCCATCAAATGTCTCTTTGTGATGAAGCTGTTGGATTCAAATCTTTAAAAACAATTTTTTGAATAATTTCTTTTAAAAAATGTTTACTCTCAAAAAATATCATATATGAAAAAAAATATATATATATTTATTTTGAGTGCATAATGAGAAGTAACCATTTCTTATCTTTTATCTTATTCTACTCGTATGTTATGCGATTTAAAATTAGAATTTTTTACTTTTAAT